TGCTTTTCTAATTTAATGTATTATTCTTGAATTCAGCTATGATGTTAACACAATTTCTGGTTTTCTTTTATAGTAGTTATCTAATATGTCTGACTACTAACCTTTGAATTACTTTTGCTTGATGTTTCTCTTGTTGGATTTTGTTTTGTGATATATGCTGAAAGTCTTTTTCTTTGGTAAGCTATTCAATTTTTATATCTGACATGAGACATTTCATCTTAGCTCTGTCACTTGTCAAAAACACATTATTTTTACTTAATTTTCTAGGAAATAATTTACATACCACCCACATGCCCCCTTAAGTTAATGTGACAGTTTTCCATAATGAACTACTTAAAGAGAAGCTTTGGTCTGCAGCAGGAAAAAACTAAAAATTTTAAAAGACTACTGCTTTAAAAATTCAACACTTTCACTAATTATATTCAAACAAAACATACATATCATGCAAATGACAGTACTGCAGTCAGTTGTAGTTTGTCATACTAGATCACAGAGGTTTACTCAGCTTTATAATATTTAAAAGCCCTGGACAGAAGATTCTAAGGTCTTGAAATCCCAAATTGATATGGCTCCATTGATTCCCACAGGGTAAAATTTATGATAGTCTTGTTTGTCTACCTCATAAATGGGTACTTGAGTAATGCTATTCTAGTGCAGCATTGCCAAGATTCTGTCTTGTGGTCTGCAATTGTGACTTTCTTCTTCATTCTGTGGAGTGTTTCATGGCTAACATGTAATAATGGTTGCTGTTTTGGAACATCTAGTTTGTAGACTAAGGTCAAGCAGCATTGTCATCTTAGTTAAAGAGCACTGGGAAGCAGACATGGCCAGCAGCTACAATACGGTTTTTCTGAGACAAATGATACAATCAGGAGTGGCAGGAACTTTGTTTTCAGAATGAAACTTGAACACCATTTGAAGCATCGGCAATGGATATGGTGCTGTCGTGTCTGACCCAGGCTGCATAGCTCTGGCCGAGAAGTTGACCCTGGGACCCAGCCACCTGTGCCACCAAACTCTGACATCAGCTAAGTACAATGCATCTTGCTCCTTCATGGTATACTGTTTGGCTTTTCATCTACTTCTTTAATGTATGCTTAAGTATTCTGCATTTGAAGTCATATGACCCTGATGCCAGGAGAGCATTGATGGAAGGCCAATCCAAACTGAGGACCATTGAATGAGCTGGCTTTTTAGTGTGTTTGCTTACCCACTTGTCATTTTCATACTTAAGTAACAAACAAATGAATTGTGCTTCATTATTCCCAGCAAATTTGTTCTCTAGTGGGAACCCCTTCACAAAAGTGAGAGGCTACATGATTAATTCTCAAGAGCAACAGGGTTAGCCTCCAGACACCATCTTTCTGACTTCTGCAAAGGACAATGTGGTCAGGTTTGAGAGCCCAGTAAATACCTGGGTGTGTCCATTGTACTCCCAAAGTTTATGAGGTTTCACCTAGGAGCTCCCATTCTTCTTTGTGGTTATTCATGATCTTTGTGGTTATTGTGGCTAAGGGCAATTTGAGTATGATCCCTGTTCTAGACATGACAAATGATTGTCTCTAGTAAAACTTGTTCAAGGGACAATGATTTTTGATTTCAAAAGCTAGAAGGCTGGGATCAGGGCAGTCCTGACAGGCTCAGAGCAGAGAACTTGAAATCTCTGGTCTGCTGAAATGAACAGACTCTGTTCCATCCTGCCACTTCTATAATAGGTTGTATCTTCTTATATGTTTTCTAGAGCTACTTTCACTATATGGTCTGTATTTTATTGTTTTTTTATATGTATTGTATTTTGCCTCTTTTTTGATGTTTTGGGGTATTTTAACTTTTCTAGTGGTTACCTTGAAGATCTATTCTTAATTCTCTATTTTTGAATTGTTATCTATGCATAATACCAAATTAATTTCCCCTTATGAAAGTTAGATTAGTAGAACTTCTCTTCCTGTGTCTTTGCTCTCAATTCACCACCAATCTAGTTACAGTATTATCAACTCTTGTTGGCAACTTGAACTACCTCTCTAACCTAAATCTCTCAATTTTAAAATTACACTATTCTTTATTGTCATGGATTTTAAGTTTACATTCTGTTTTATAATCATATTTGCCTCTGTTGTTTAACTTCTACAGTTGAATAAATTAATCACTTCTTGTCCACTGTCCATGCCTTTCCAAGCATCATTTCATTGGCTGGAGATCATCCTGTAGATTTTTTAAAGGGCTCATGGGGGCCTATGTTTCATTTATAGTATCCTATGATAGTTATATAATAATATATTCATAACAGTATGTGCCAGTCCCTGGATTATATACAGTATGTCTTGAATTCTATAAAATTAATTCATTTTTAGGTTTGTAATTCAAAATGTTATTAGAAAAACATATTCTTTGTTAAAAATGACAAACAATACAGTTTTATGCTAAATGTAAAAATGTTAGGTATAAAGCAATTTCCTATGAATCTGGCATTTACTTTATGAAATGCTAACTACTTAAGGGTTCTAACTGCATAAATGTCCAACATATGAGGTTTTCTCTATGATTACTATTATTTAACTCTTACTGTTATACTGCTGCTCCAGTAAAGGATTATTGTAATCGAGTTACATTAGTATACAAAGCTTTCTAATTTGTCATTTTTCTTTTGTCTTCAATGAATAGCTCATACACATAGTCATTAATACCTTTATATAGATGATCCCCCCTACACTCCAACCTCACATTTTTAATTGCACACTGAATGGTTAACATGGATGTCACTGTAGCAACTCAAACTCATTCTTTTCTCTCTAACCAGCTATTCTGAACACTATAAATTCATCCTTGATTCCTATTTCCTGTGCTGTATCAGCTCCACTCCCGCCAGTGTTCTAATCCTATCAGTTGTAATGTCTCCCATGGTGACTCCTTTTCATTTTCTTTGCTGTTATCCTACTTTAGGCCCTCACTTGGTCTCCTGCAATAGATTCTTAAACATTTTCCTCCTTTACTATTGGATTATACACTACCAGAAAATAATCTTCCTAAAGCATGTTACAAGCAACCCAGGGTATATTTTACACCAAGGTTTTATATTAGAAAACTTTATAGACATTTATCCAATTTCAGAAGCCTTATGACTTTTTCTCTGAAAATTTGTGGGAAACAACTTTTAAAAATGAAATTACATTTACAACATACTTAGACAAAGGATTTAGTGAAATTTTATTGTGAATGCTTTTAAGTGCAAAACATACTTTAAGTGAAGTGACAAGCACTTGATTATTTTCTTTCACATATATCTGAGTTTTCATAATTCATCTTTGCTTAAAGTGTGCATGAAAATAGAATGAAGCAATTGGGAGGAAGATAAACAGATACTCTGATGTATACTTAATTTAAATTTGTTTAAATTGTTTATTAATGTATTTATTTAAAAAATTCCACCTGCCTGACCTCTAGATTAGAATTATAATAAAAGCTTTCTTTGCTACTTCTAATAAATATAGAAGTGGGCTTGGATTTTTTTTATTTTTCCTTTTTGACATTCAAAGAAATTATATGAGAAACTATGTGAATAAATATCAGTGTACAATTTTCTACAGAAAAGTGTTATTCTTTAAATAGGCTTCATTTGACATTTCACAGTACATGGTGCACAAAATGATAGGTAGTTGTAACACTATAAGCTTTATAATGACGTACACTTAATTTAAATTAAATTTTGCTACTAGCTGTATGACATTTGACAAATCTGAATTTTTCAAAGTGTCAATTAATTTTTTTGTAAAATGGTAACAATATCACCTACCTTATCTCAGATAATATGTACAAAGCATACAGCATAGTATCTGACATATACTAGAAGGTCAATAAATAGAAATATAAAGTTTATTTTTCCTTTGTCAACTACACTGGTAAAATACTGTACTAATTAACTTTATAACAACTTCTTTAATATTGAACTAATAACAGCTAATGTTAGTGCTTTCACTATAAAAACACAAATTTATATAAGATTATGAATTTCACATAAGATTATATTAGATTTTAAGTGTGATTAAATATTTGTTATTTTTTTAGATACAAGGAGATGAGGTATGTGAATATGCCTCTTAAATTTGGGTACCATGATCTGGACCTAACTTCAAATATTTACCATTTATTAACAATATAACCTCAGTTTCTGCTTGGGATAGTAGGGTTGTGGGTTGGGGGCTCTGGGGGCAGATTGGGAATAGTGACAACCTCAAAGAGTTGCTAAGAAAATCAAATAAAATAATGTATGGGAAACAGCTTTGTAGTCTCAATAATGCAAAGATTAATTATAGCACTTTTGTTACTTAACCATGATTTTAGTAGGATTTAATGGTGTAGCCTTAAATCAGAATAAAGGAGATGAAAATAAGAGTAATTCAGTTAAATTAAAGAACATGCTGAAACAAGCAGATAAAAGTTGTGAAAGAAAAATTTATGAAGGCCTATTTAATAAAGCCTATTTATTTCAGTTAGAATTATGAATAAACCTGTGACCACCACAAAAGATAAACTAAAAGTGAATCAAATTTTCTATAACTTCTCTAAAATAAAAGAATAGCCAGAGCTCCATTCTTTTATGTATCAGGCTTTTTAAAAAGTGGTATTAATTATAAATTATACTAATATACAAAATAGAGAAAATAATTTCAGAAAAACAATGTTCACTGATGTAATTAAAGCTGTGAAGGTTCCACCTGTGTGACTATTCAATGTTTAAAAACATTTTCATGATAAAAAGAAAACAAAACATTATATACCTTGGGATGTAATGATCTATAAAACATAATTTTGTAAAATGATTGTTAACAAATAAAATGTTGAATGCTGCCAACAGAACTGTATGGTGATTTTTAAGGAAGCCTTTTTTTGAAAGCCATCAAACACTTGTCTAGGAAACTTGTGTTATTCATGGACTGTTGGTAAAAATGTTCAGCCAAATGAATGTAAGAAAATTTAAAATTGTTGGCTTTTGCCTACCGTACCAAGATCAGCTTTAAGATCTGTTGGCAGACTTAACTTTCTTGATCCTTTAACTGAAACAACAGAAAAAGGAAAAAGGTAGTTGTTAATTATATAAAATTAAAGAGGAGTGTGGGGGAATAGTATGTCTCACAGTATAATTATTAAAATCCTGATGATCATTACATTTAGTGAGCATATATGGAAGCAGATATATTCAATATTACTTCATTGTCATTTAGTAATAAATATTTAATATGTAAACAGAAACATGAGAAAACCAACTGTTCTTACAGTAAATAAAGTTTATCTTTGCATGTTTTTTTTCACATGCAGTATGAGTGATTTATTTAATTCTGAAAGAAACAAAAATCAATTTCAGATAAATGTAATAGATAAAGGATTATTGTAACAAATGTATAAACTTAGATCATAAATAACAATGATAAGAGTAAAAACTGATGTACTCTCAACATTTTTTTGAAATAGAAAATTCTATTATAGAGGTGTATGGTGTAGTCAAGGAAACTATCAAACCTATGACAGATAAAATGACTTCAGCACTGAATACTACAATGTTAAAATTCAGTAAATAAGAAACTCTTAAATATAAAATATTTGAAAGTGAATTTAAATATCATAAACCAAACAATCAGAAAAATCTTTGTAAATCAAGAAAACTTCTACAGCTTATTGAAAAACTTTCCTCATTATTTATCTGTTAATACAAATTTTACACTGGGCATCTCATAAAATATTTAACTGGACTGCATGTTACAGAAAGATATATATTAGGGGAAATCACATTAGCAATCTTTCCTCTCTATTAAGACCTTATTAAAGGCTCAAAATGATACTACCAATGAATTTATACCTCTAATGAGTGATTTATTTTACAACTAGGAAAGTTATTTTAAAACAAAGATGAAGGATAATAAAGTACACAGAATATTTATTTTAAAATCAGAAAACATGGTTCACAAATTTCCAAATTGTTACCACCTAGTTATATGAGTGAAAAAATTTCCTTCATCAATTTTCAGCTTCTTCATATCTTCATATCAATCTTAATATCTTTCAAATAACATTCTTTATCCTTAATGTTTCAAGTGGAATATGACTGGGATACATTTTATGAAACTTAAATATAATATAAACCTAAATATATTTTTGTGTGTTATGAAATAGTACTTTTTATTTTTTCTCCAACCATTTAAAAACTAAAAACCCATTCTTAAGTCACAAGTCATACCAAAATAGGTTGCAGGCTGTATTTAGCCTGTGGGCTGCATGTAGTTTGCTGTCTATAATATGTCCTGCTAAATTACTTAAAAAAGGAAACCTGAGTATTATCATTCTAATAGACGTAATAGCAGGCACTTATCTCTATGAAAAAATACATTATGAAATAATTCTATTAGGATCAAGGGGAAATCAATATATCAAATTATAGTAATTTGAGTTTAGAATTAGCATAAACAAAAGGGTATATCAAAATTTGGCAAACTAAATACATGTGATATTTATGCTTCAGAAGAGATTGCAATTAAAGTATATTTTATAAATTGATTCATAATCCATATGGGCTGAGGGAAAGGGGTGTTTGCTATTTGGAACAATCTTTCATTTAATTTTTAAATAGGAACTAGTTCTTTATAATGTAAAAATCTGTTTCACAATTTCTTTTTAATCGCTTCTGTTCTTAAATAGGGTATTTCAACATATACATGTAGTATTAATTACTTCAAAAATGGATTCAAAGATGCTTCAAAAAGAGGGCAAACAGTCCCTGCCTATTGGTCAATAAGCCTGGATGCGTATGGCAGGACACTGACCACAGTGTCAGATGTCCTCCTATTCCCTGCTATTCTTTCTGATGGAAAACTCACACCCTCTATTCTAGTATCTAACTTACTCTGGCTCTCAAGTCTCCACTTTTTGGGATTTCCCCTCCACTTTACCATCTGCCTTTTGGTTTCCTGTAGACTACTTTGTACCTAAAAACCGGGGGACCCCCTCACAGACCTCATCTTCAATTGTGTAAATGGTGGAGAGAAAGGGACTGATTAGATGCAGGATTAATTAGGTAACTAACAGTTATATTAATCACAGACCCTCTGTTAGTTATGCACAGAATGATCCTCTTACCTTGTCCGACTTGTAAATTCCTACTCATGCTTCAAGACAGCTCAAAAATCACCTGTTTCTGAAGGCAGCCTCAAACTTAAGGTTTATCTGGTGCCATTATCTTAATTTTCACAGCACCTTGTGCACACCTCCTTTATAACACTTAACAAATATTACTGTATTGGTTTTTTTTTGCTCTACTGCCCAGTAACATCCTGAAACTTTGAGTTCTCCAAAGATAGAGGCTGTATTCCCAATACCTAATAAAGTATTTGTATAGAGTAGGTGTGCAGTAAGTGCTTGCTGAAAGTATGTTGAAAAAAGCAGTAAGGTCAGAAGGTAAGGGTGAAGGATTACTCTGAAGAGGGCTAACCACACTGAGAAAGTATGTTCAAGTGTTAGAGGAATATCTTATACATCAATTTAGAAGGAATTTGGGTTGGAAGGTGAGAAAGGCAAGAGAGAATAAGAGGCATATAGTCTTGGAAATGTACAGAATGAAAACAGTATGTATTAATCTTTGCAAAGTGCTTCTGAGAATGCAGCTCTCTAAATTTCTAAATTTTTGCTGTTATCTAAGCTAAAGCACATATTCCTCTATCATTACATATCGTTAGCCAAAGAAAAATGGGAAAGAGAAACTTCTCACTACACACTGGCTTACTACAGTACACAGAAAAGAGAGACACAGAATCCTGGGCAGTAGAGTAAAAAAAACAATACAGTAAAATTTGTTAAGTGTTATAAAGGAGGTGTGCACAAGGTGCTGTGAAAATTAAGATAATGGCACCAGATAAACCTTAAGTTTGAGGCTGCCTTCAGAAAACGGTGATTTTTGAGCTGTCTTGAAGCATGAGTAGGAATTTACAAGTCGGACAAGGGGAGGACAAAAGAATCTTACAGGTCATCTAGTTCAATGTCCTACTCACTGCAAGTATTTATCCTACAACATTCTTGACATCCTACCTGTTTGAAAAACATGCAATTTGGGGTTGCTATAATTGCTACAAAATTTCCTTCTATTTTAGCTCAAACCATTTACTAATTTGTCCCAGTTCTAATTTTTGGTGTGAGAAAGAGTAGTTGGATTTTGCTGTCACATGCTAGATCTTAAAGCATCTGAAAAGACTTAGAAGCCACCTCTGGTACACTCACTGTGTCAGCAGGGATTTGTATTTTAAGAAGTGTTGCAAGTGATACTGACGCTGAGAGCTTGGTGGATTACATGTTGAGAAATAATGTTTTTGCATTTATGAACATTAACCAACCTACTTTCACCCTTCCACAAAAAGTAATTTCCTTAGATGCAGTTTATATTTTCCACATGAGACCCCATACTGTCCTTAGTTGTTAAATTATGTATAGAGATAGATATGTAGATATTACTTTGCTGAGGTTTTAAAGGCAATTATCATTAGTTATATATATCTTCATCATACTTTTTTGGTTCCTTTTTTAGAGTAATTAAAAAAATTATTTTCATCAGATCTTTGATCTTTCATTTTCTAATGAGAAATCGAAGGTGGTAATTACAAGGAGAGTAACACCCATATTAGAAGTGGTAGATGCCCTTTTTCTCCCTCTGTAAAGCTTCACAGACTTTGCTTTTCTCCAAGGGAGGTTTCCTTGAAGTAAAGCCCAGTGGCAAAGAACACAAGTGAGCTGGATTCAAATCATGACTCACTCATTTGCCAGTTGAGGGAACCTGGGATGGTAGTTACTTAATCTCAGGAGGATTGTTTCCCTTCATCTGCAAAATGGGGATAATAGTCCCTACTTCATAGTGATATTGTCAGCAATAATTAAGGGAATATATGTAAAGTATTTAGCATGGTGTGGTATATTAATAAGCATTCAATGTTAGCTACTATTTCATATTTAAACTTGGTAAGAAAAGATTGTCATTCTGTCGTAGTCTATGTCAAAAATGACTTATCTGGGCAACATGTCCTACTTAAAATCTAGTGCCTTAGGATTACAGCACACTTGATAAAGCCTCCAATTGTATATGGTACTAGTATTTGTTCTGCATTAATACTACTTAAGAGTCCATTGTCTTTTCAAGAGTGATATGACACACTTGATTCATAATGGGTATATTCTCTATAAAAGAATATTTAAGTCATGTTGTGCATCCTTACATAGAAGAGTATCTTTAATCCATTCCACCTTGACAAACTGCCTGTATTGGCTCGTGGACAGTAACACAGCAAATAAGTACCATAAGTATGGGGCAGGGAATATTGCTGTAGCAAATGTTAGACTTATAACAGTTTGATTTCTTATAATCCTAGTCTTATTAGATTTGGGGAAAATGGTCATGAAATTCATCTTGTTAATTTAAAATGTTGTGGCACACATTTTTAAAAATAAGAACAAAGGAAATAAAAATTATAACAGTATACAAAGAAGGTGAATTTTATTTATTCTATGTAAATTATATCTTAATAAATCTAAGTTAAAAAAAAACAAAATTCATAGTAAAGAATCCCCACAGATAGGATTAATCACTTACCTAATCACATCTATCACCTTCTGACTTACCTAGAATTGCTAGGGATGATGGCATAAGAGACCAAAGATGATGCAAATGAGTGAAAGGACTTGTTGATGGTAAAATACATATTAATATTTATCTATAAATTCAGACCTAAAGGTTGGGTAACCAAGCCCTATAATAGCACCATATTATGAACTTTTCAAGACTATTCATCTCTACTCTTTAATGCCTCCCAAATTCAGTTACAGTAATGAGGCAAGGTAGTCTGGTGGCTTACCATAGTTTATGCCAGAATGAGATCATATGCTCAGCCTTAAATATGTTTGTTCATAATTGCTTTTATAATAACCAGTACTATATATTACTGAGAATCTATATTCAGAATGCTAGCACATAGTTAAGGTTAAACTTGACTAGAGTTATAATGGTGGAAAGTGACAGTAAGATCAAATTTCTCTGACTTCATAGCTATGTTGTCCTTCCCACTAAGCAACACAGTCTTCCTAATACCACCTGTGTGGCCTAGATATCTTCTATAAAATAAATAAATCTAACACTAAATTAAAGTAAGCTGTTCAGATTTAAATGTTTGTAAAGCTTATTTATCTATTGATTAATTAGTAGATGGGTTGGAAGATAGTAATGAGTTTTTCTTGATCTTCCCTAATCCATAAAGTAAGATAAATAGGAAAAAACACATGGTATGTATATAGTTAAAAGACCACACACACACATTTTGGAGTGACCATGCCATGGGAGAGCCCTGAAGGGCCTGTATTCCTCTAATTTTGTTGCTATTCCCCACCCCATCCCCCTTCTTTTTCAGAATTGTCTATGATATAGTTAGGCAAAGGTGTATCTTTATTAGAATTTGCCCCAGCATAAAAATGTTTAATGTCATGACTCTTCTTTTTTTGCTATCTTAAAATGTATATCTACCTAGATGATGTTAATGAATCAGTGACTTCTTATTTGGTGTCACATGAACAAGTGTTAAATGAGTATGAAACTTGATTTCTGTTCTTATCTTGAATTATATACTCCCAGAGAGAAGTAGGTTCTCTGTTTTAAAACACTTTTTTTTTTAATGCACATAATAGGCGGCCAAATAATTTGGGGTCAGAGGAACTTGAAGTCTAAAGATTTGGGTTGGTTCAGACTTTTACTAGCAGGGTAACCTTGGGCAAGTTACAGAATTACTTTCTTAGTTGTAATTTCTCCATACATATAAAATGAGAACAATACCAATTTTACAGGGTACTATGGGATTAAGTAAGACAACACACATGATAAATACTTTGTTTGCTTTAAAATACTATATCAATGTTGATTACAATTTTCAGCAAACAAGCTTAATAAATTCAAAATGTTGACTTTATGAAAAATAAAAAATTTTTTAAAACCAGTTTTTCCTGGAACTTAAATGGTGAACTACATTTCTGATGTTTCATGCAAAGTATATTTCTTAAGTTCTTAAAAATTTTTGTTTTTGTTAAAACATTGTCTCCTCATAACTAAGCATTTTCTCACTTTCTCAGGCTTGGGTGTCATATAATTTTAACTGTGATTATTTTTTGTAATTCTTATATTTCTTTTTCTCATTTTAATGAAAATCAAGGGGAAAACATAGACTTTACAACCACATGTAACTCAGTTGGAATCTAGGTCTACTTACTTATATACTATGAAGCTTCAGTTTTCTCCGAAAAAGGCATATCACAGGGGTGTTGTATTACATAAAAAAAGAAACTGCTGTCTGGAAAATTGTGAGTTACAGTTATCTTTAGGTTTCTTAGTTACTGACTTTATTTGGGGCCTAGAACATTGGTAATTCATGCTTCTTAAAGTTGCCAATATGGTCAAACCATTTGGTAATGAATGCCTAATTTAAGAAACTGTACAACTGGGGTTTGATTCTGATTTGGTTCCTATGAGCAGCATCAAATATTTAGTGACTGCATAAAATTTAGATTATAGGTCCTTTCTTTCTACTTATTATTTTTGAGACAGAGCATATCCCTTTGAGGTAATTCTTTGGTTGAAGTTTCCATGATCATCATAGTTGTGTGTCTGATTATAGAAAATATTAAATCATATTATAAATAAGTATGGAGGTTTCTTACAAAACCATCCTGCTTTTTGGCTCTTAAGTTTTTCCTAAATTCTCTGTTGCACCTACATATTATAGGCCTGATGAAATTATTCAGGCTTAGAGTAGAAAGACAACACTATCAAAATGATATGAGAAATTTCAAAGTCTTTCATAAAAGCCTTAGGAATTCTTGCTTTCTATCTCATCAAGTCAGTGTCCATGGTTTTAACCATTAGTCCAGGGAAATTTGTCTTCATTCACCATGAGAGTTCTGTGTTTTTAGCATAACAAATAAGAGTACAGCTTTTGAGACAAATTGTGAAGTTTAGAAAATTGTAGATATGAAAAACTTGTTTGTTCATAAAAGATTTTCACTTTCACCTGGCAAGTGATGTACTTGATTCCTCTGTCTCACAGCTGGTATTTCATTCCTATAAAAGGCTGGTGCTGCCTCAGGAGTTCTGGTAGCAAGTCCTAAAGGAAGGGAATAAAAAGCTATTGGCATAGAATTTCTTAGCCCAAGTGAACCAAGAATTTTCATCTTTGAGGTGAACTTCATAACTACTTGGAAGGGTCTCTATTTTGTGCCTTTATCTGAGTATTTTGGTACTGCCCTAACAGAGGACAGTTTGGAGGGAAGAAGCTTTCTTTGTTGAGGGATGCAATGGAGTTCTAGGCATGTAAATTGCACAGAAGGAGCATTCTAACTAGGGTTTAAAATCTAGTTTTCATCCAGGTTTGAGAACAAAACTGGTTACTTCTTTGTATTTTGTAATGTTTGTCTCTATGATATTTTAATAAATATATCTTTACTAAGATACATAAATAAATATATTTTAACAAAGATATTTCTGTCACCCTAGCCTTCACTTGAAATGCTAGTATAATAAGTTCATTTTGTATTGTGCACTGTGAGAATCATGATGGATGGCTGTATGGGTAGCTAGCAATATTCCAACCTGATGCTAGCCTAGAAAAAGATGTTCATCTGAGCAAATGGTTTTGAAAGGCACAACTTTAAGGAGGAAAAATCAGAAGAATGTATACCTTGTGGGTAGACCTAACCCTATAGTTGAAAGCTTAGTGTTTGTCCAAAGAAGAGGGGGATTATTCCTTTTGGGGAGCAGAATTCTGTGTCAGGTAAGTGGAGGTAGGGCTGAATGTTGGCTCCTGTCCACCCTTGGGAGGTATGTTTATACAGTACACAAATTGAAAAATCTTACCTGTTGAGCAGAATAGGGTTACACAGCTTCAAGAAAAAACAACTAACAACTTGTGAAATTATGTTAATGTTGGTTTCTGCAGATAGACTATCAGTTCCATTTTGCAAGGAGTGTGTTTATTATGTTCAGTGGATAACATAATATCTGTCTAACTGTAGATACTGAAAATTATTTGTTGAATAGTTGGGTGAATGAATAAATAATATGGCATGATTGTATCATCCTAGAAGAAGAGAACATTAGCATTCTGGTTGCTTCACTGGAATTCTTTCAGCTTTCAATCCCTACTGTGATCCCCCTCATTATCCTCAAAGAAATATTTAATAGTCTGCAACTTCACTCTGTTTTACTTGTAGTGTATTGGGCTAAAAGGGATGTTGAGGTCCATATAGAAAAACAGAGTCATAAAATGACTATTTGTCTTTGGCTTCCTTAATTCCTGACTTTTCTTACTCAGACATTTGCGTCAGTGGTTGAGTCTGTTTTTAGCAGTCTGTAAAGATGTGAGGTTTAAAGTCCTAAAATAGATACTGCAAGGGAAAGCAACCACTGAAAAAAGAATACTAAAAACAGTTTTAGAGTCATAGTTATCAAGTGGTCCAGAGAGCAGAAGCATTAGCATTACAAGGGACCTTGCTAGAAATGAAAAATCTTAGACCCAAATCTAGACTTATAGAATCTGCAGCCCTCAGCAATCTGGGTTTTAATAAACTTTTCACACAATTCTGATACAGGTTTAAGTTTGAGAACCATTGCACTAAGATAAAAAAAAAGAAATAAGGCAAAAATAGTATTGGCTCTTAAATGCAATATAACATAAGAAAGGGGAGACATACCCAGCCACAAATATAATAACTGCCATTATTAACCAGACCTATATGACCTGTTTCTGAGAATGTAAATCAGGGAGACATTGGAGGCATAGCTCCTTTTCTAAATTTGTCAAGAGTTAGAATGTATTACAAATATTTTAGTTTCCCTTAATTACATATGTTGATTCTGTCATTCATAAGTTATCTAACATTTTAATTGTTTATATTTTCATTCTTTCCTACCTCTAGAGATAATAAGCTTCATGAGTTTTGTAAACTACTGTTAAAGTCTTAGAGATGCTTTTTTTTATAGTTACATTTTAGTTTTATGATGTTGGGCTAAAAAGTCTATATTTACCCTATCTATACCTTTTCTGATAATCTAAGTTGGGTGCAGCAATTCCTACAATAGCAAGAGATTGCAGAATGTAGTTTATGTACATGTGTTGCTATAGTATTCTGGAAATAGCACTGGACACATTCTCTTTTGTGGGCTTAAAAAGACCCTTAGTACAACACAAATACCTATTTTTATTTTTCATGGCAAATGAATGGAATAAGGAAGTACTGATTATTACCAATATTCTTAAGATAAAATAAATTCTATTGGCACTCTTCCCAGAGGGATAATTTCATATACTTTAACAAATATAGTATCTAATGATTACGAAGCTTTTAAAAGAAAAAAATCCCTCATTCCTCAATTATGATTATTTATGATTCGAAGTTGTCATTAAAAAAAGAGTGGGACATGCCCAGTAAAAACCTATCTCAAATAAGACACTGAAATGATAAATGAATCTTGTCACAGTCAATCATTTCTGTTCTAAGGAACATAATACAATACTAGCCAAAATCTTCCTGTTTTGAAGCAAGCTACTTGGTTGCATGCAAAGTCTTCTGAGTCTGCCTTGCAAAAAAAAAAATGGTGGTGGTGTTTCCAGAAATGCTCTTATATCAGTAAAAAATAGATACATCATAGGCAGAGAGCTAAAAGCAACACGTCTACAAAAAAATATACAGCAACTGTCATAATTATGAAATATTGAAAGGCATTCAAGAGATTGGGAACAAGGAAAAGGTATCTGCTCATACCACATCTATTTAACATTGTATTGAAGGTGCTAGCTAATTTCTTTAGAAATAAGAAATAGAACTGTCACTTTAATGGGGGCATAATTGGATACATAGATAATCCAAAACAATTTACAAATTATTGGAATTAAACTTATCAAGTTTTCTGGATACAAGGCCAATATACAAAAATTACTTGTATTTTTATATTCTAGCCACAAACAATAAGAAAAAGAAATTGAAAAATTACAATATAAAAATATATCAGATACAAAGGAATAAATCTAATGAACAATGTGCAAGACCTCTAAAAAGAAAACTGAAAATATTACTGAAAGTAAAGAAGACACACAGAAATGGAGGTAGCAAATGGAAAATTCAATATTGTTGAATATGTTAGGTCTGTCCAACTGATCTAAGGATCCAATAAAATTGCAGTCACTATGCAAGCATATTTGTGTGCAAACTGAAAAATTATCTAAAAATTATATAGAAACACAAAAGACCTAGAATGGCTATATAAATTCTTGGAAAAGAACCACAAGAACAAAATTGTAGAACCTACATAACAGCAATACAATAAAGTTACATCAATTAAAAGAGTGTGGAATTGGATAAATGATAAACATACCAATGAAATAGAATATAAAGTTTAGAAACACAGGCACACATGGTTAAAGTACACTAATTTGTGGCAGAAGTACCACTTTAGTGGGGGAAATGATAGTTTTCCCATAAATGGTGCATATCAAATAGATACTTAAATGGAAGGAATGAACCTTGACTATTACTTCACATTATACACGGAAATATATTTGAAAGGGACCTTGAACTTAAGTTAGAAAAGTAAAACAATAAGACTTCTAGAAAACAGTATAGGTAAATAGCTTCTAGATGTTGGGGTGGACAAAGATTAAAAAAACCCCACTACCAATAAAAGAAAATATTGATACATTGAATTACATTAGCATTAAAACTTTTTGTTTATCAAAAGATCACCCTAAAGAGAGTGAAGCCACAGAAAGGGAAAAGATATTTTGAAATATACATCCAACAAAAGACTTCTATGTATGTACATACGTATGTATATATACACACAGAATTACTACATACCAAAAGGAAAGGTAACACACTAACAATGAGTAAAAGACTTGAACATCTTATAAAAGAGGATATTAAAATAGTCAATAAACATCAAAGTCTCATCAAAATCATTAAACATCAGAGTAATGCAATTTGATTTAATTCCACAATGAGATAGCACTATGTACATCCCAGAATGACTAAAACTGAAAAAAAAGTCAAACATTTGCAGTATGTAGAACAAATAGAATTTTCATACATTGTTGGTGGAAATAAACAATGTATAAAATTGTATAAATTATGTATAAAATTTAGGAAATTTGGTAATATTTCTGAAACTGAACATCTGCATACCCTATGAGCTAAAATTTGTACTCCCAGATACATGTACAACAGAAATGAGTTTATATTTCATTAAAAATTATACAAGATTGGTCATAATGACTTCTAATAGCTCCAAACTGAAAAATCAACTAAATGTTGAGCAATAATAGACTGTGTAAATAGAGATATATTCATATAATGGAATATTACAAAGCAATGAAACTCATTCAGCAACATAGATGAATATCACATATATAATGTTGAGCAAAATAAGCAAGAAACAAAAGAAAACAAAAAAATATACTGCATGATTCCATTCATATGAGAGTCCAAAATCCACAAAACTAATCTGTGGTGATAGAAGTCTAAACAGTAGGTACCTTTTTGGAGGTTAGTGCATAAGGGGCATGAGGGAGGAACATTCTTCATCTTGATCTGGGTGTTTACATGGTATATTGATTTGTAAAAGTAGTCTTGCTGAACTCTTAAGATTTATGCACTTTGAGGTTTATATATTACACCTCAGTTTTAAAGAGCTTACCCCAAAGAGGTTAAAGCCAAGGAACACAAAAAAATTCCACATTAAAAAAAGCAAGAGTTATAGTATTAATAAAAAAGATGGAATTCAGGTGAAGAACACAATATGAAATGAACAATGGTGATTAATGGTAAAGAATGCATTTTTTTTGTGGATATAATTTTCAATATCTATATATGCTATTCTTTAAAAAAACAGATACAAGGAGAAATAGAAACACATTATTAGTATATTTTAATTCTCCATCCTTGACAAGTCAAATAAGCAAAATATAAGGACACAAAAAACAACATAATTAATAAGGTAACACATAGATACCTATTGTTACAAATTTAGATTAACTAACTCGAGTCAAAGAAATATAAACAAATTGTTCTATATAGAAAATACTGTTAATGCATTCAGAGTTTATCAAAGGTATGATACATTAAATGCAGAGTTCAAAGGGAAATTTAGCTATATTATATAAATATGTAAGAAATACTAAATATAAATGAATTAAACATCTACCATGAAAAGTTGAGAAGTAAGTAATACAAATGAAAGCAGAGGTGGGAACAAATAAGGATTAGTTTAATTAGAAATTAGTAAGTTAAAAAAACAGTAAAACCTTTCTTTGGGTTTAAATAAATAATAAAATAGATTGTCAGCTAGCTTACTTAGAGAAAGATAAAATCTCAAACTTTGTATATATAACATTGCAAGGTGTTAGAAAATTTCCATAATGAAAATACTTTTCTTGAAGAGAAAGTACAAGTATACAAAATAAGTAATTAAAAAGGGTGAATGTTTTGACAGGGAAATTCTACCAAAACTTTAAAATGTAGAAATCCCAACATTTAAATTATTAGAAATCTCCTTAAAAGAAAAGATAAATGTCTGATTACAAAAAAACTGCTCTAAGGCAAGAGATACCACAAGCAAAGTTAAAAGTTAAACTGAGAAAAATATTTGAATCTGTCACAGAGGGATAATATTATGAAGAGGTAATACAAATTGATATGAAAAGGACAAACAGTCCTATAGAAAATGAGGCAATTATATGAATAGATGATTTACAGAAAAAAAATTTAAAGAGATCTTAAACATATGAAAATGTTTTCAAACTAGTGGTTACCAAAGGGGAGGGGTCAGAGAGGGCAGGTGGGGATAGAGGGAGAAGGGGATTGTGGGATATCATGATTGGTGCACATGGTGTCTGTGGGGTTATAGGAAAGACAGTATAGCTCAGAGAAGACAAATAGGGACTCTGACATCATACCACACTAATGGACAGTGACTGCAATGGGGCATAGGGGGGACTTGATAATAAGGGTGAATGCAATAACCACATTGTTTTTCTTGTGAAACTGTTATAAGACTGTACTAATACCTTAATTTAAAAAAGACAAAAAAAATCTCATTTATTGTAGTAACAAACATGTACACCACTAAAATAAAATCAGAGGTATATTTATACAAGGAAATTATAAAAATTTCTAAGAAGCTAACAAGCAAATAAAAAGTAAGTTAGAAAAAAAAGAAAATGTATTCAAAATCACTTATGTGAGAGGTAAATTGAAACTACATTGAAATATCCTTTTTACATAATAGACTCCCTCCACCAAAATTTGATAACCAGTTTTTGAATGTTATGTCTGGATGGGGAGAAAATTGTTGCAAATAATTTCACATTATAAGAATGAAAATAAAGCAATAGATTACTGCAGTGAATTACCAGAAGTCTGAAAAATACCACTCATGGTTACCTGAAGTGGGAGACTTGCAACGTTCAAGTTCCAGGGGAGCTGGACTGTCATTTAGCTCAGTTAAACCTGAAAATGAAATGGCAAAAAAAAAAAAAATGTGGTAAATTTTGCTCTTAGTAGATAATTTTTATTTCTTAATTCCTATTAAGTGTAAAAAGGTTTCTTTCCCTGTAAAAACCACTTTCCTGTGCTCATGTTATGACAATTATTCTGAAAGTTTAACAAGTGATACAGAAAAAAATGAGCAATAACTAAATACAAAGGATAATTGATAAATACCAAAGATAATTGAACGTGATGGTGGAAATGAAAGTTTAACAAGTGATACAGAAAAAAATGAGCAATAACTAAATACAAAGGATAATTGATAAATACCAAAGATAATTGAACGTGATGGTGGAAAACCCCTTTCATTTTTTTCACATGAAGCAGTCACTTTAATACATGACCTTGTTTCATCTGAGAATAGATCATTAATTATTCATTTGAATTGATTAATATAAATTAGAAGGGGTTCTTACAACCTAATTAAATCTTCCAAGATTTCTCAAGAGAAATGGTTATTGGCTTTTCAAAGGCCTTTAAGGAGATACTTTAAATTTTAAGTATTATACTTATCTATAAAAATTCAATATTGTGTAGTACATACTAAGTGATTTATTCAGTGGTATCAAATTCCCTCTTATAATAAATGCTATATTTTCTCTTATCTCTAATATTTCTTATTTTTCATTCTGTCACTTTTCTGACAAATACAAAGATGGGCACAATAGATTAATAAACATTTTGTAATTCTCACTATCTGCCAGTCTGCATTTCTATGACATTCATAAAATATCCTTATGATATTCTTATCCTTGCATATTTTTTGTGAATCATTCATTGTTTCTACTTTAATGTAAATTCTCATACCCAGAAGTACTTTAGAGCTACTGTCAAGTACCAAAATTATCTTTGTTCATATTCCTTCCCACCACCCCCTTCCTTATGTAATTTGTACCAGTAAACTTAGGTGTTCAAATAATCAGAGTTTTAGGAAAGGTCTGTTGTAATACCCTAGCCCAAACTTTATATAGATAAGAAACTGTAAGTTCAAAGAATTTAAATTATTTTTTAAAGTTACAGAACTAAATGCCAAAGTTTGAATAGATTCTTTATATATTTTGTTTTTTTGTGTGTGTGGTTTCAAATTTCCATCTGGGGTTACTTTCTGTCACTCTGGAGAACTTCCTTTAGTAATTTCTTACAAGGTGGCTCTAAAAGTAATGAATTCTCTGTTATTGTTTATCTGAAAATATCTTTATTTCATCTTTGTTTTTTTGAAAGATAGCTTTGCTGGATGTAAGATTCTTGGTTGAGAGTTTTTTCTTTTGATCTCTTTGACTATGTCATCCTACTGCCTTCTGGCCTCCACTGTTTCTGATGAGCTGCTAATCCTATCAGAGTTCCCTTGCATATGTATGACAAGTCATTTTTCTCATACTGCTTTTCTCATTGTCTTTCAGCATTTTTACTATGATGTGTCTGGGTGTGGATATCTGCATTTATCCTATTGGAGTTACCTAAACTTCTTGGATGTGTACATTTTTTCATCAAATTTTAGAAAGTTTCAGTCATTACCTCTGAATATTTTTCTACTTTTTTCTGTTTCTTTCCTGTTTCTACAACTTCCATTATGGGCACGTTGGTGCATTTAAGATATCTCTCACTTCTCTAAGGGCTTGCTGAGTTTTAATTTTTTCTCTCTATTCTTCAGAATACAAACTTTATCAACCTACCTTCACATTTGCTAATTCTTATTTCTGCCAGTTGAAATTGACTGTTGTCTAGAATCTAGTAAATTTTTTTCACTTACTGTACTTTTCAACACCAGAATTTTCATTTGATTTTTTTTCTTGATCCCCTTCACCCATTTCATTCTGTTCCTTCACCTCTGCCTCTGGTAACCACCATCTGTGTATCTATGGGCTCATGTATTATTTATTTTTAGATTCCACATATAAATGATATCATATGGTATTTGTCTTTTTCAGACTTTTTCCTCAAGGTCTATCCATGTTGTTGCCAATGCCAAGATTTCATTCTTTTTTAATGGCTGAATAACATTCCTGTGTGTCTGTGTGTGAATCATATTTTCTTTATCCATTCATACATCGATGGACACTTACACTGTTTCCATCTCTTGGCTACTATAAATAATGCTTCAATAAACATGGGGGTGCTTATCTTTTTGAGCCACTCTTTTTGTTTTCTTTGAATACTTACCTAGAAGTGGGATCATTAGACCATAGGGTAATTCTATTTTTAATTTTTAAAAGAATTTCTATACTCTTTTCCATAGAGGCTGCACCAATTTTCATTTTCACCAAAAGTACACATGTGTTCCCTTTTCTCCACATCCTAACACTTGTATTTTTCATAAGAGCCATTCTAACAGGTATGAAGTGATATCTTCTTGTAGTTTTTATTTGTATTTCCCTAATGATTAGTGATGTTGAGCACCTTTTTATGCACTTGTTATCTGAATGTCCTCTTTGAAAAATGTCTGTTCAGATCCTCTGCCCTTGCACTTCCCTTGAACAATAAAAATTCTCATATTTAATTGGATTGGTTGGGTTTTTGCTATTGAGTTGTATGAGTTGTTCATATTTGTATAAGTTATATGAGTCTATTGAATTGTATGAGACTCATATTTTGGATACGCTTATCAGGTATATGATTTGCGCATATTTTCTCCCATTCAGTAGGATGTCTTTTCATTTTGCTGATGGCTTCCTTTGCTGTGTAGATGCTTTTTAGCCTGATATAGTCCTACTTGTTTCATTTTGCCTTTGCTGCCTTTGCCTTTATTGCCAAATCAAAAAATCATTGCCAAGACCCATGCCAAGGAGTTTGATGCCTATTTTTTCTTTTAGGATTTTTATGGTTTCAAGTGTTATATTCAACTCTTTAACCCATTTTGAGTTAATTATTGTGTATGTTGTAAGATATTCACGTTTGGTTTTAGTAACTTCGATCTCTTGGTTGATATTATATTTTCAATGAGACATTATCTTCATAGTTTTCCTTACTTCTTTCAGTATGATGTCTTTTAGTTCTTTAAATACATTTTTAATGGCTGCTATGAAGTCTTTGTTAAATCCAACATTGAGGCCCCTCTTTTTTCTATTCCTTGGGATTTTTTGCATTAGATTAGTGGTATTCCTTCCATAAATGTTTGATATAATTAATCAGTGAAGCCATCAAGGTCTGCAGATTTCTTTTGTGTGGGTAATTTTGATTTCAAAAAATTTTTTTAAGACTATTTATACTTTCCAGTGTGTTTGGTGTCAGTTTCTGTAATTTTTTCTTTAAATAAGTCTCTTAATTTCAGATATAGTATCAAGTTATAGGGATATAATTGTTCATTGTCTTACTTTGTTATGTTTAACATCTGTAGAATCCAAGCGATGCTCCCTTTTTCATTTCTGGTATTATTTATGTTTTTTCTTTCTTGATCAGTCTTATAGGGTTTTAGGTATCTTAGTATTCTTTTTGAAGAATTACCTTGTGTTTTTGTTTATCTACTCTATTGTTTATCCTCTATTTTATTGATTTCCAATATTTATTTCCTTCCTTCTGTTTACTTTCAGTAGCATTGTTCTTTAATATTTAATATAGTTTAGATTATTGATTTGAGATTCCTTTTTACGTTTCTAATATAAGAACCTAATGTTCTAAATTTTCCTTTAAATACTGCTTTAACATCTCACAAATTTTGATGTTTTGTGTTTATACTTTCACTCAATTCAAAAATATTAAAAAATTTCCTTTGTGATTTCATTTTTAAGCCATAACTTTTTAAAGCTAAAAGTATTTCCAAATATTTGGGGACTTTAAGACATATATATTATTGATTTCTAACTTAATCTCTTTTGTGATAAGAGAATGTACTCTGATTTCAATCCATTATAACTTGTTCCATGACTCAGTCTGTATTTATGAATTTTCCATGTCTATTTAAAAAGTGCATATTTTCATTTGTATGGTGTGGGTGCTTGTTTATATCAGGCTAATTTGGTTAAGGGAATTGCTTAAGTTTTTTAAACCCTTACCAATTTTTGTCTATTCTGTCAGTTACTGAGGAGAAATGGTAAGTCCCCAGATATGATTGAAGATTTGTCTATTTCCTTCTTTAGTTTTAACAATTTGCTTTATTTATTTTGAATATTTCTTATTAGGTGCATTCAAGTATAGGATTTTTATATCTTCCTGATAAAGTGATTCTTTTATAATTTGAATTGTCTATCTCCATGTCTTGAAGTCTCATAATATAGCTACCTCAGCTTCTTGGGTTAGTGTTTTGATGGAATTCTTTTTCCCTTCTTTTACTTTCAATTTATTTGTATGTTTTTATAAGTAAAGTACATTTCTTATAAACAGCATATAGTTGGGTCTTTTTTTTATCATGTCTCATAATCTCTACTATTATTTGGGATGAGGGATGAGGGATGTGTGTTCCATTTACTTTTTTTTTTTTTGAATTATAGAAGCCTTTTATTTATTTATTTATTTATTTTGAGAGGGCATCTCTCATATTTATTGATCAAATGGTTGTTAACAACAATAAAATTCTGTATAGGGGACTCAAAGCACAATCATTAATCAACCCCAAGCCTAATTCTCAACAGTCTTCAATCTTCTGAAGCATAACGAACAAGTTCTTACATGGTGAACAAGTTCTTACATAGTGAGTACGTTCTTACATGGTGAACAGTGCAAGGGCAGTCATATCACAGAAACTTTCAGTTTTGATCATGCATCATGGACTATAAACAATCAAGTCAGATATGATTATTCATTTGATTTTTATAATACAACCATTGATTGAGTTTGGTTATGTCTATCATCTTTCTATTTGCTTTTAGTTGGCCCCTTTGTTCTTTTTTCCACTGTTCTTCTTTTCTGCCTTTTGAAAAAATCAAATATATTTCAGTATTCCATATTATCTTCCCTTTGGATATTTAACTACACTTGTTTAATTTTTTAGTGGTTGCTGCAGGGATTATACTGTGTATCTATAATTC